TACATTTTTTTATTAAACTATATATTGTATTATATGCTATTTAATTCTAAATATATATTAATTTAGCTTTAGAATTTATTAGTTAATTGGCGATTCAATTTAAGTATGTAAATAAATATAGGTGGTATTTTATAATTAATAATGTGAACAAAAAAAAAAGATGATTCGCTAAAGGTTCAGTGACGATAAAATAAAATTATTATTTAAAATATAACGATAATATGGCAATAATTAAAAATAATAAAGCTTTATTACGTAGCAATAAATCGTTTATTCGAATATTAGCATCGTGTGTCCGGAGCACATGATATAACAACGCGTAAGCATGCATATTTTTGTTACACTAAATTACAAATTTAAACACGCGTGCGGACGGACAAAAAATTTCCAAATTACATTTCTGATGTGATCTTCATAATGTTTATGCAGATGCATCAAAAAAGTAACAAAATTTGGTCGAAATGCATCAAAAACGTAATTCTTGTATCACTTGACGTAAACACTAAGAGTCCTCCGCTACGCTCCGGACAATAATAAAAATAGTAGCTCGGAGGGTCTGGAGGCCCTTTACGTAAGTTTTGCATGTTGTGGTTTAAAAACGCATGTGGAATTTTTCTCAATAGTTTTTTTTTAGATCTTTAGCTTTGCGAAAAGTATGTATGGTTTTTTTTTAGTGTGTTTTGTAAACCCGGCGTTTCCTAAGCTCGTAAATCCTGAGGGGATACGCTCTGCCTCTGGTGTTGTCTTCGAAATGGTTGCATAACGATCTTTGAAAGATGCATAAGGTTCTGAATCTGTAAGGCTCTGATCCTTATTTTCAGCGGTTCCTAAGCCTGTAAATCCTGAGGGGATACGTTCTGCCTCTGGTGTTGTCTTCGAAACGGGTATACAGCAAAGAATTTATGTTTGCTTCAATGTGCTGATCTTATGTTATCCTGAAAAGGTTTCGGGTTTAAGAATTTGAGAAAAGATATAAAGGTCCTATCTTTGACTTTTACTAATGCTTTTTTATATCCTTATTTTCTTTTTGAGTCAATATTATGGTTTGTATCATAGTTTATAGATGAATTTGCTAATGGCAGTTCATAATATTAATATATCACATCTTTTTTTGCATTATTATATACAGGATTTCGTAGAATTATTAGAAAATATTTTATTATCTGGAGAAGTTAATGCCGTTAAATTTTTTAAAAAGACCGAATTTACATTCTCTCAAAAGGAAGAGGCAGAAAAGGCACTCTTTAAAGCATTGGAAATTATTAATTCCAAGAATGATATACATGCCGTAATAGCTAAAAGACTGCTTTATAATTTCGATAACTTTATTAGTTCTTCCAATGTAGAGCAGTTTTGGAGTAGTCTTAGAATTCGAGAAGAGAAAACCACTACTAATACAGCACAAATTATATTACAGGAAAAAGAAGTAATTATCTTATTTCATAAGCTTTAGTGAAGTTATTGTTGTTAACTTGTTTATTGCGAACCATTTAGGAGCAAAATGCTTGCCAAATAAGGACTAATATGTTGGAGGAGAATATTAAATTATTAACAGCCAAAAGGAAGACAATGTCCGATTTCGGAGAAAACCGAACAACAAAACGAATTCAAAAGGAGGATGATGACAAGCTGACCTTTGATGACAAATCAGAGACAGATTCAAATAATGAAGTACATTTTGACGGCAACAAAGTATTCAGTATAGATCCAAAATTCGTATTAGCAGACAATGATCATAAGGTATTTCGGGATTTGAATAATCTATTTTGAGATAAGGTTAGGTTGTCTATAACTTTTCAAGAGGCAAATTAAATTGATTTTTTATAGGGAGATATATTTTCTGACGATATCAAAATTGCAAAACCAATCCGTCTAAATATAATACCACCAGACGATTCCTCTCAAGAAACTGATGACGATGAAGATATACCTCTAGAAGAATCATTTATCTCTGCTTCTAGCAGTTCAGAAATTTGGACCTTGCCTTCGGGTAAAGACGTTGGTAACATTTATGCTAGTAAGATATTTGAGAATACAAGAGCAACCAAAAAAAAGAAGAAATTAACGGCTGTTGAGAAAGCCATATTGCGTTACGGTGCATCAAATATAATTGATTTGTCCGCTCATATGAAAGAATGGTTTTGCGTTGATGACAGGAAATTCATGTCAAAAGAATATGAATCTATGTTACAAATTCCTGAGCTGGCACCCGAAGAGAGCTTATTTATTTTGAAGGTTGAGGAGGTATGGGTTTTATTTTTTCATAAATTTATCTTATTTGTCTTTATTTATATGTTAATTTACTTTAATTTTAGTTTGTACGTAAAGGAAAAGTAGATCAGGCCTACAAACACTGTATGAATACTCATATTAACTCGGAAAAAACAGCTTCTTATATAAGATCAGCAAGATATATGGCGACTTGTGAGTTATTTAAAGTTACCTGGTTTTTATTTTTTTGTGGTTCCAATTCTTATTATCAATATATTCAGTATTTACAAGAGTGAAGACCAAGTTAATATCTTGGATTTTACTCCAGAAAGTACACATACAGAGGTCGATGTAATTGTAAAGGCATGTGCGTACGTTGTTGAAGGACTGTGCAAAAACCTTGAAGTATATTCTACATGGTTTGTATAAATTTATTTGTAATTTTCTTACGATATAGTTATTTTAGCAATTTTATTCAATTAGGGGAGAAACTTTTTGCCCGTTGAGTAGGAGTACAAATTACGCTAATGGACGTAAATGTGATGTTCGCTTCCTATCAGCATCAGGGGTTGACGTCGGAGAGTGGGAATTTTCCGCAAAAGTTATAGCAAATAAGACTATTGGTGATAGATGCCGTTCCGCTCGAATAAATCAATCGATATTAAATGGGTTACTAGAATATAATCTCAATGATGATCAAGTTAAAAATATTCAAGTTCCTTTTTTGCAATTTGGTGGTACATGTGGACAATTGTTGGTTGAAGATCTAGTAGAAGGTTTTTATATTGTCTTTCCTGGGCCAAAGTTTGAATTGCCTATAAAACTTCGAGATATTGGAAAACTGAAAAATACTATCAATGTTATCAAGCTAGTTATGGTAAGCTTATGATTCCATTTCTGTTATTGAAAAAATTTGTCCAATTTATTTTAACTTAATATGTTGGGCAGGAAATATACGAAAGAACATGCGAAACAATCGAAAACCTAGAAACATTTCATCACAAATTTGACGATGTATTTAATGGAGATTACCACTTTGTAGACAAGCCTACTCATTTTAAATACAAATATATTCGAAGATCGTGGTGGACCCCAAAAAATTCTCTCTGCTCTAAAAATGATGTTTAATGTGGAATCATAAAATTTATGTATTTGGTTACCAATAATAAAGGTGGTTTACGCTGGTTTTTGAGCTATATCTGGTGTTCCGTGATCGAATAAGTACGTATTATTATAAGTTCTGAACTTCAATAATGACATAATGATGGAATAAAAATTGCGCGTTAAAAATTGTAGCGCTAATTACTTTTGCCAAGAAAAATAAAATTGCGAAATACATATCGCCAGTGTTGTACATTGTAAAGGGCCAATTTGACCCTCCGGAAAATACTGCGCTTCGACGTAGTACAATGTCCTATTTTTAATTTGTAGAGTTCTTTTATTAGTACAAACATGTATAATTAGAAGACTTACCGTAGATTAGTGTCAATATTTCCATATTTAGTTAGTACGATATTATAGAAATTCAATTTATTGAAGATTTTCGCCATACGTTATATCAAATAAATGACTTTTAGTTTATTTATTTATTAAAATTTTATTGGGTTTTGAACTGAGGTCAGGCTTTAGAAATATATTTGAGTTGGGTTGCTGATATATATATACGTATAAAGTTCTCAAGTACTGTAAATAATTTTATCTTATAAACATATTAAAATAATTGTTTTTGCAATTTCGTACAAAATACAATAAATAATTGCATTATAAACTATATGAAACAGAGTA